ACATATTCGATGGGGCTATATTGTGATTTATCCAATGATTCGGAAAAATTACTGACAACCACGTCAAAATATATTATGTAGCAAAATATTGTTCCCAAGATTACACTTAAAAGCTAAAGCTCTTTTGAGAATTGAAAGTCATTGATAAGTGTATTAGTACAAGTTTTTAGTTTAGCCATGATGCAATTGCCCTATATACTGTATCTCTATCGATTTTCATAATGAGTAATAAACACACAGTGCTGGCTTAACCATGGGTTTAAATAAATAAATAAATAAATAAATAAGTCCAAAATATTAATCCAGTTCTAAAATTAAAAATTAAAAATCAATAAAATCAATAAAATTTTTTGTTCTTTATTTTACTAAAAAAAATTTTTTTTTTATAATTTCATTTTTTAGTTTTTAATATTTTAACTATTGTATCAATAATTAATAAATAAAAAAATTAATAAATATATTATACATATTTAATAAGTTTAATTTTAATATCTTGTATATTTTCAATTTTTATATTTGGTGGAAACTGTACATTGTAACACAATTTTAAATTAGAAAAGAGTATGACTTTCTTCTCTAACAATGCCTTTTTCATTTGTCAATTATCTTAAAAATAAACGTATAGTTCTTGCTTCCGGATCACCACGAAGAAAGGATATTCTCAAGCTCCTAGTAGGTTCGATTCAATAATATGATAACTGATTTGATAGAAAATCCGATTTTTTTATTATTACGAATAAACAGGGAATAAATTTTGAAGTGGTTGTCAGTAATTTTTCCGAATCATTGGATAAATCAAAATATAGCCCCATCGAATATGTAATAGAGAATGCTACCGAGAAAGGTCTAGAGGTGTATGGACGTTTGGCGGTATGGATAATTCTTTAAATATTATGGAAATTAATTTATTGTTAAAAACTAGCTTTACCTCACATTACAAGCAAGAAGACAAGGATACCGATCTAGTGATCGCCGCCGACACTGTGGTTTCATTAGATGGTGAAATTTTAGAAAAGCCCATCGATAAAGATGATGCGTTTAAAATGCTCAAAAAGATTAATAATCGTACTCACCGTGTATACACCGGCGTCGCATTGATTTACCCCTTAGTCGAACCTGTTCATCCTGGATATGAACTAGTGACTTTCGTAGAAGAGACAGAGGTAGTATTTAGAGATAACAGTGATGAGACATTACTAGAATACGTTAACAGCGGTGAACCATTGGACAAAGCTGGCATGTATTATCGAATATGAAATAAAATATGATAAATATAAATATTAATTACTATTTCACTTTGAAGGTTCATATGGCTACCAGGCACTTGGTTGTTTGCTTGTTGAAAAAATAAATGGGCAAGTACTGTAACCGATATTGATTATATTTTGATGTTTTTTAAAAATTTATTTATATTATTTTATTATTTTGATCAAAAGGTGTTATTACAACGTAATCGGGTTGCCAACAAAAGTTTTTCAAAAGTTAGAAGAGCTTGTAAAGAATGAAGAAATTTAAAAATTAAAACCTAATTTATTTTTAATTGAATAAATATTCTTTGCACTTTATTTTATATAATAAAAGATAAAATTTTATTTATATACTTGAGGTCAAATTAAACTATATACAGTATTTAGATATTTTTTACTTGAAAATTTTTTTTTTCTTTTTATAAACTTTAAAATATAAAAAGTTTTGGAATGCAAACTAGAATACAAGTAGAAAATAAAAAACATGATACAAATTTAATATAATATAAATTGGATTTATAAGTTTTTATTTTATTATTTTTATTTTTGTTAGATAATATAGGACTCTGATTATTTATTTATTTTTTGCAATAATCCATTAAATCAGATTAGTAGTATGTATTTCTATATTTATTAATTATTTAATACAAAATATACTTGAGTATTATATATATATATACAGTTGCTTCCAAAAGTTTGAGTTCACTTACCATGTTTTTATTATAAATTTCAACTTTAACTATTTTTAAATCCTTAATTATATAATCAAAAATTATAAAATTCATATATATTATATTTAACACTAGTTTTATTCATTGTTTTTTTTTTCAAAAAATTTTTACATATAATTTTTAAAGTTTTATTATTGTTAAAAAAATTTATTCTTTATCAAATTTTTAATTTTGAAAAATTTTAATTGGCTGTTATCATAAATAATATGATAA